AAAAAAAAAAAAAAAAAAAAAAAAAAGGAAGGAAAAAAAGGTGTCGTCGCGTTCCAGGGTTAATGCTCGACGGCCTGTCTAACCTCCTCTCCCTTGGGCTTGCTCGATACACATATATGTATATATATAATATATATTATCGAAGATAAACCGCACACGCACGCCGCCGTCCCTCCTCGAAATACCTTCGCGCTCCACTTCCTCGATTCTTTCTCGAGAATGATTTCCATTCGTTCGTGGCCGCAACCTCGGTCGGTTAGTTATTTCTTTCAGCCTGGGGTAGTAGTAGGTGGTGTGTACGTGCGCGAGTGCATAACTCGGGGCCGCGTTATAATACACACTAGACGCAAGACGCTTCATAGGCAGCAGCGCGACAGCTAACGAAGTGCGTCGTAAATAGACACGCAGACGAAAGCTTTCCTCCACCTCTTGCCGCCATTTCGAGCCGAACGCACGGAGTCTACGCCGGTAATGAACAGGCGCGAGAACCGTCGTTCGAAAACGACGCAACGCGAAACATCTCTGCTGGAATCGTCGGTCTTGTTTCACTAACCATTCAAAGATCTTGCTCTGTGTTTCTTTTCTTCTCTTGTTCGTCAGTGACTGCTTTTTCTTTTCTTTTCCTTTTCTTTGAAAATGACGTTAACCGAGATCTACGCGAACACTTGTATTCGTATTGCACGATTCGTGTCAGGAGGCTCTGTGTGTTCTTTTCACAGCAACCGTTACAGTTCCTCGGTTCGATCGGTCCTCGTCTCTCCTCCGTCCTTTGCTCGTTAATCGTGGGCGTGCTCGCTTCGAGAAAAGCGTCACACACACACACACACACACACACACACACACACACATATACACACACACATACAGACATCTGCGAGATAAACGCAATCCATTTGGCGGAAAGAAAAGCCGGTCGAATCGATCGATTCGACTGGAAATCGTTACACGCGCGTGTCTGCGTGGACGACGTGTCGGAACGGAAGCCGCCTAACGGGGAGAATCGCTCTTCCGGGATCTAGCGCATACGTTGCATGCTCGCGTTCCCCGGAAGTTGCTTTCCACCGTAGACGTGCATCCTGACGTCGCGCGACGCTCGCCCCAGTATTCCTTTCGATGCGTTATCGAAATTCCCCGGAATGGATAGCTAGCTAGCGTTATTCCGTTCGGAATAACCACGCTCTCCCTCTCGACGCTTTTCCGATGAACCGTAAACGCCAAGTATCGAGAAAACGTTCGCGCGTGCTTGCTCGTGGAATTTTTAATAAGGTCGACCTAATTATCCCGTATACAAGAACTTCAAACTATACATAAATATACATATATATATACATACATGTGCGTGTATGCATGTATGCATAGTTTGAAGTTTATTGTTCTATTTAAAAAAGCAAAGCTGCTTTTTTCCCTCCCGCTTTCGCCAAGAGTAATTAAAACAAACGTCGACGTCGCGCAACAAAGAATCAAAAAGTCGAAAAGTCAGAATTTCCGGAGAGGTTCAACTGGTGCTCCTAAATAATTACCATTCGTTAGCGTGCAGATTACGGCAGTTGCGGTCAAGTGGATTCTTGACCTAGTCCCGTTTCTCCTGGTAATTGCGCCGCGGAAGGAAAGAAAGAAAGAAAGAAAGAAGAAAAAGAAAAGCGCCAACGTTCGGCTAATCTCTCGTTAAAAACCGAATAACGCGCGTTTTACGAAGACCTGGGTGTTCGTGTCTTTGCTGAAAATTGCTAAAAAAA